TTAAAATATGGGTATTTGAAAATTTAGCTACCCTCTTGCAAAAATAAGGTGCTTGATTTATAATTTTAGGCTACAAACCATTTTGATGCCTTGGGAAGTTTTATAGTCACACTTAAACCGACTGTTAAGTTTTAAAGTTTGGAAATTGTTAAGTGTATTTTTGAAAGGAAGATGTTAAATGTTAAGCACAAAGAAGTATCATCATAATTCTGCTTGTTAATTTTCTGCAGTTTTTTTCTTGTGATTCGAACATAGGTCTTTATAGTGTGTATTTGTTGTAGAGCAAAAGCTGAAATTAAAAAGAAAAAAATATCCAAGCTACTGCATATTTATTGTATACTACGTATATACTATATAGTATATACGGTCCATAGAGGTATAGACCATAGCAGCTGAAGGAGCAAGTTTTATTTGTTGTATGTACGGTCCATAGACCATAGCAGCTAAGGGAGCAATTTCAGCTAGGGGAGCAATTTTAACGGTAGTGAGTGCCGTTAAATTGATTCAGTTAGTTAAAGGGGTTATTGCCCTCCAATTCATGACTTTTAAAGGTTTTTGCACAAAAAAAAGTTCAAGTGCATAGATGCACTTTATTGACAACTTTAGGGGTGTTTTTGCCCCTTTTCCCTATTGTTCTTTGTTGAGTGCTTCGTGATTTAAAAATCATAAGGTTATTTTGTCTTTTTAATGACAACACTTCCTTTATTAACACTTCGTTTTTTTTACTCTTCCAAACAAGGTAAGTTTAATTTATGTTTTACACTTACACTTCCTTTCCCTTCCGAGCCCTTGTTAACACTTAATAACACTTCCATTACTAACACTTCTCAACACTCAATCCAAACAGGCCGTAAGGGGCTATTTATAGGGGAAAATGTGGGGCTGAGCTCCTAACCTAGGGCTTAGAAGATCCATTACAATAATAAGGCCTCTAATGGGCTGAGTACATGGTTTATTTGACTAAGTATAAAATCTCATTCTGTTGGGCCGTTTCTGGCCGACGGAGGGCCTGACTGATGGAGGACCCATTTTGCTCCTAGGCTACTGGCTATATTCTGAATATTTTTGGGTCTGGCTGATGGAGGGCCATCTAGCTGACAGAGTGCCACGTGGGTGTCAGTCTTCTCTATTTAGTCCCTTGAGTATGTAGGTTGTAACACCGTCCCCAAATATATTTACTTTTACGTAAATGATGTAATAAACCTTATGGAATGATTTATGAATTTACGAAGTTGTAAATTTTATATTTCTTTCGCGTGAATAGTAAATTGCACGTGGGACCCACATCGGGAGCGGGGACCACCCAACATTCCCGAGACCACATATTTTATTCATCTTGGCCAAGATAATATTTATATAGTGGTGGATATTTTACTTGGTTCGTGGAAAGGCCCTGTGTTGGCCGATTGGGAAAAAGAGACCCAAATATCGGTACCGGCAATTTAACAGATAACAGCCCGAAAATAAATTTCGGAGACGTCTAAATTAATGTTTTGGAATATATATTATTTCAAGAGGCCATTACGACTGGGAACACGTAATATATTTTATTTGACCCGATAAAATAAAATATAATTAAAACAGTCCGAAAAATACAACTTTCGGGACCGATTGTACACTTCGGGACAAAAAGGGTTGACCTCCCACATGAGTGGGGGCCAACCCACGAATTTGGACACTCAAGTAGAGTGTTGGCCGGCTGGTGGGATAGGGAAATATGGGGAGGGGATTGTGATATGAAGGAAATGGCATCAAAGGTACCTAAAGTGGACCCCCATTCTACACTCATTGGATTAATGAGACAAAAGCTCATCCCCATCCCTCTCTCCCCTCATTGTCTCGGCCAAGCTACAGCAACCAAGAGCAAGGAAATCTTCATTCTTCTTTCTCCATTGTTGAAGGGAGCTCAACAAGAAAGTATCCCAAGAAAAGAAGTTAAAGTGCTAAAATTGTGAATAATTAATGTAATGACCTTATTATAACTTCTTCTTTATTTTTTCTTCTACCATATGAGGTATATATCATGTGAAGGACCCTTAGTGTGGTTCCACATGTTATGAGTATAGATTCATGGGGTGGAAGATGGTTCTAAGTCCAAGAACGGACTTAGAGGCCAAAACGACCGGTTCACCGAAAAATAGCCTTTTAGAAGTTATTTGTATTAATATGGGTTTTATGATTATAAAACCTTTTTAGGCACTTGTAAAGGGTATTTCAAGTGATTTCACAAAGTTGGAAAAGTCGCCGGAATTGTCGCCGGAGTTGACCAAAAGTCGCCGGAGTTTCACCGGAGTTCAACCAAGAAGGGTAGAACTTCATAACGCTAGTTCAAGGTGAGTGGACGGCTTAATATCTTATAACTTTTGGGTTAATTATGAGATTACCTAAATGAATGTTATATGTGTTCATAATGATGTTTAAAAGATATTTAAACATGTGATTAGTCAATAGGGTTAAGTTGCATGAAAGGAATTAATTGTTATACATGGAATATGACATGAGAAATTATATAAAAGGCATATTTGCTTGAAGTGTAAAAGAAGCAAAAATGAATATTATTAACTTAATTATATGATGATTAAGTTAATAAGTGTAAGACTTGAAATGGCGGTCAACGACAACGTTGACCGATGGATAATGGATTAATTAATGTCGGTTGATATTAGTTAATTATACATTTATATAATCGCATGGCGTTGCATGGATTGTGATACATAAGATTTATGTATTGAATTAGTTATGAATGACTAAGTATGATATAGACTCTATCTAGGTTGATAGGAGGTTGATCATAGGGAAATATTTTGGTGGAGGACCCTAGTACTTAAAAGTACTTAACACTCAAAATTTGGTGGAGGACCCTAGTACTTAAAAGTACTTAACACTCAAAATTTGGTGGAGGACCCTAGTACTTAAAAGTGTTTAACACTCAAAATTTGGTGGAAGACCCTAGTACTTAAAAGTACTTAACACTCAAAATTTGGTGGAGGACCCTAGTACTTAAAAGTACTTAACACTCAAAATTTGGTGGAGGACCCTAGTACTTAAAAGTACTTAACACTCAAAATTTGGTGGAGGACCCTAGTACTTAAAAGTACTTAACACTCATATTTTGATGGAGGACCCTATGACTTAAAGTTCTTAACACTCATAGATTATGATATTGAAATAGGGACAAGGAGGTGTCCTGTACACTTATAGGTATATGGGTGGGTTGAGGTTTTTAGTCAAGAATATTGACTATAACTATTTTTCCCAAATAAAACGGTGATCTACGGATCGGTTATTTTCCAAGTATATATGTACTAGTAAGTATTTCATAACTTGGGGGGGAAACTATTCATATAAGTATCACCCTATGTTTGGGTCTTATACTTGAAACGCTAGTTATTCTATATTTAGCCTGCTACTCGCTCGGTACTTGTACTGACCCCTTCGGGGGGGGGGGGGGGGGCACCATTTCCAGGTTGAAGCTAGGGCTTGCTACCTGCACCTTTCTACGGGTGACACCAAATCAAGGGAGACGTGGTTCGTGCTTCCTCATTTTCTTTCAAATTACCAAACATTGCTCATGGATATTTTTATTTGTTATAAACTAATTTTGGGCTTGCATGCCTATGTTATTGGCCGAATGTGGCTTATGAGTTACCGCTGAATATTTCCGCTATTCAATGGTTTAATTGTGATGTTGTTATGTATGTTTACTACTGAGTATGGATGGATTGTTTTCTCGAACGCTTAGTATGATTAAGTGAGGTTGACCCGCGGGTGACGTCACTTGATGATACGGCGGCTGTACACGCGCTTAGATTGCGGTCTGGGCGTGACATAGGTCATGGGGTCCAGGCTCATATACTCTATCAGTATCAATAAATAAAAGAATAACTCCCGCTGTACTAAACAACTTTGACAACCACACCCATATGAGTTGCATGCTCATGAAAGATTTTGGTTGCGTTTGGTAATTGGCGGTTCAACCAAAAGTTAGAGGGTTTGATCAGGTTTGGAGGTTTCAGTTGGTAAGGGGCAGTTTTGTTTAGCGTTTTGGATGAATCCGCCAAAATCAGAAATGCCAGAAATAGGAGCGTTTAGGTTTGGCATTTGCGAATAATTACTCGATTCACAACTGTGCCCTCATCTTCTATTCTGTTTTTGCTGCAATTCCGGGAAGCCCATCTCCGCCTAGGTAGACATGTAATTCTCTCTTTGTGTGAGAAAACGGTTCGTGTACTCTGTTTTGCTTAAGAAAATTGTATGCTACGAAGCTGGGTGTCTACCGCTAACATTTACCAAGTATTTCGTAAAGTATTTGTCCGTAGTACTATGTAATGTCGGTTACGTATGAATGTCGGTTAAGTTAAATAAATATATAAGTATGCATAAAGATAAGGATTCCATGATTGAAGCCAAGTAGCCAACTTATTTTTTTTATTTGTTAATGTCCTTATATGTCTTTTTATCTACTAATCGCTACGATCAATCAGACTTACCAAACATCATTTTACAATCCACAAAATGAATCTGCTAGTCAAATCCGTTGATTCAATCCGCCACTAACAATCCGCTAACACAATACGCTAACCGCTAACCGCTGATTGTCAAACAGACCCTTTATGTGACAGACCGTTTATGTGGTAATATGTTAGTTAGTGGAATTTAGTGTGCTTGAAACTCTTTGTTTAAATTATGACATAAAATTATAGAATTCTCATTTAACTTTCATTTTCTACTGCGTGATTATGTATGCACTATGCAGTATCTCACCGTAGGAGGATTTAGGGGATTTTGGATCTGATTCTTAAAACTGCTTCTGCTCCTTGAAGGAGTAGAAACAGAAGTTGGACTGTTCGGGTGAAAGTGCAGAAATGATTCCGACACTCTAATGTTCTCCCAGAATTATTTTTTTAGAAGGCGAGAGACACTAGTTTTTAAAACGGATTCTGATTCTGTTCAAACCCACCCTTAATATATCACCTTAATATCAAGCATATAAAAATTTTCATAAATGAACTCAACTAACAATGGCGCATACCACAGCTCCCTCTCACTTTCTACTCTTACCCTCCCTTCGCAGAACACCGATTAAACCCTCCGACTACAGATGTTCTGCTTCCTTCTCCATCTACATTCGTTCACTCTACTCTTCCTCTTGTCACCATCACACAAGCAGGTCCATTGAGTCATCAAACTACATAGAGACCTTTGCTAAGCGCATGGCTATGGCTGGGCTTAAACCTCACCACCGTATTGGTTAGTCTCCTATCCATCGGAATTCAAAGCATTGAAGTCCATAACTTTTTAAAACTCCAATTTTATTTCCTTCTATTTAATTGTTCAGTTTTTCTGACTGGTTGTGCTGCTTTCGTTTTGATTTTTCTTTCTGAAAAGCTTTGGGTGTCTCTGGCGGTCCCGATAGTATGGCATTGTGTCTATTAGCTGCATCTTGGAAAACAAACAATCGAAGTGTTGGTCTCATTAGTGATAAGAAAAGTGAGTACATTGATGGACTTCTGGCTGTAGTAGTGGACCATGGGTTGCGAGCTGAGAGCAAAGAAGAGGCAAATCTTGTTCAGCGCCGAGTCACCAATATGGGTATAATAACAATACCCTTGGTTTCATGTTTGGCATTTTCTTTTCGGTTTGGGAGCTTTTCTGAGTGTGTTTAATAGAGTGAGTGGTATGTAAGGTTCACCTTATGCAGGAATTAAATGTGAGATTGCTCACTGTGAATGGTTGGAAGGTAGACCCAAACAGGGCCACTTGCAAGAAGAGGCTCGCAATAAAAGGTATTCTCTCCGGTTCTTCTGTAAGTGATATTTGAAGGAAACAATACTAATGAAACAATACCATTTCCCAAGATCAAGGTAAAGCCATAAAAGCAGTATTATAGGACTGGAATACCTTGATTCAAGTTTTGGAGTACCATGTAGCATTTAAAGCTGGAGAAACTTAAGGGTGGAAAATATTGAATTAATGCTCTTTTGATACTCTAAAGCTGCAGCTATAAAAAAATAAAAAAATTACTGTAAAGCAAGAATTAAAAGAGAAACATAAAAAGTACCAGATATTATGGCTCCTTCATTCTCTATAATATCTCACATTACTATGATCATAACAAACACTTGGCCTTTACGCTAACCCTTTTCTCCCCTTCCATGCACAGGTATGAAATTTTACAAAGTGTTTGTATCCAACATCAGATGAGTGTGTTCTTAATCGCTCATCATGCTGATGACCAGGTTCATGCCTTGTACATTTTCAATTTCATGGATAATTGGATATTGCGTTCTTTCATTTTCAATTTTGAGCGTTTGTGCTGATTTTCTATCAGGTTTGAGCTGAGAAATTATTGTACGGACTACAACACAAAATCTGTAACATAAAGTCAATCATGGATTGTTTAATTTCATACACAGGCAGAGTTATTTGTTCTGAGGTTGTCTCGGCATAGCAGTGTGCTTGGGCTTTCTGGCATGCCGTTTGTATCCGAATTGTACAATAGAAACGTGTTTACCAATCTGGTCTATTTTCAACACTGTAAAACGTTATTGGTTAGACCTCTCTTGGAGTTTTCAAAAGAAGATATGTACAAGGTTGGTCCAGAAAACCATGTAAAGTTATTATCAATAGTTTAATCCACATTATGTCATTCTGTGTATATTCAGTGTGTTTTACTATTGCAGATATGCCAAGCTGCCGACCAAAAATGGGTGGAAGATCCAACAAATCAAAGTCAAGTATTTGCCCGGAATAGAATTCGATTAGCATTGACAGGCTTGTCATCGTGTGAGATGTTCTACTTGAATTTGGTGGCTATAATTCTCAACATTTTCATGCTTCTTGCTATAGATATAATTACCTATATACGATAACATAGGTGGCATTAATAATTACATGTCACAGAGGCTGAGATATTACACATATCATATTTTAACATTCTAGCTGTTTCTGCTTACTATGCAGCTACCTTCAAAGCTGAATTACAATCAGTTATAACAACCTGCCAGAGAACAAGGATGCATATTGATAGGATTTGTTCCAATCTAATTCATCATGTCGTGATCATCGCACCCGTAAGTTTTCATTCCAACTGTGGTTATTGGTGAGTGTTTTTGGAGAGACTGGTTTTAGGCAGATAGATTAAGGGAACCTTGCTAGTATGGTGCGTACTACAGAATTTGGTTGCAGATTACTTACGTTTTGGTGGCGTACAAATTATGGTTGTGTATGGCTTTTTTACAAGTGCTTTTTAACTTAAATTTGCATTACATATAATTCCTTTCTATAGAAGCTCCACTTTCGGCGTTTTTAAGAAAAGTCCCACCTCATAGCTTTCATGCTTTTAACAAAATTTTGGCAAAGTTAATAACTACTCTTGATAATAGACATTATTCTCTTCTTCTTTCCAAACTTTAACATTTCTCTTTTGGCCAAGTGGTAATCTAAGGGGGTGTCCCCAATCTGGATTTGAATGAATTTTAAAAGATTTTAGAATTCCATCACAATCTAGGTGTTTTCAATTTGAATTTCAATGGATTCCATTAAAATATGGGCGTCCTCAATCTTTCCATGGATTTCAATTATTATTTGTTCTAATGGATTTTAAAGGATTCTAGTAGATTTCTATGCCTAAAACATTCCATCCAAAATATCTTCAACCCCCCTCGGATGTCAAAGTCCATCTCATCTCGTCTGAAGCACACCGTGTTCCTCTACTTCTAGGTCTTCATCTTCAGGACTCAACTCCTCTCTCCTCTTCTCACGTAGACATCATCCCCACTGAAGCCTGCAATGGATCTGCCCCCACTTCTCACTTCATATCCTGTTTGGAGGATGGTTCCTTGACTGGTTCCATTATGCCTCATGGAGAAGAGGAGGTACCGTTAACCACAAAAAAACCTTTTTTAACCCTATTCAAGAATTTTGAGTGTTGTAGCATTTTGGTTCTAACATTTTGTTTGGAAACAACTATCAAGTATTGAGAGATTTCAGACGAGAGGAGTCGCCAGTGGAGGGAGGAATCAGAGGTGGTGTTAAAGTTACGTGTGTGAAGGAGGAATTTCAAATTCCATTGACTCTATACAATTCCATAAAAATTTCATGGATTCTATACAATTCCATAAAAATCCATTAAAATCCTAATCTTTTAAAATCCTATGAAATTCCAATTGAGGATACCCCCTGTGGTAATCTAAGTATGGATGCCGGCCTCCTGTATATTCGAAAGGCTTTGGACTGACATTATTTACCACTGTCTGCCATTCTCACTAACATGTCTACAACAACAACAACAACAACATTACCCCAGTGCCGCAAAGGCTCTCACCAACGGTGGGGTAAGGGGGGGTCGGATGTACGCAGCCTTACCCTTGTACTAAAGCACATAGAAGCTGTTTTCAAATGACCCGTGATGAAAATCGCATCAAAAATTGCATGGACCGACTGCTGCTTCATAATGAGGAAACACAGATAGTTTAGTGAGCCATTTTGTTTTATTCCATCATATCCTCAAGGAAAAAAAATAGTGAGTCTTTGGCTCCATTAGAAATGATAGAAAAATTCTCACTAACATGTCTATTAACTGTAAAACGTCCATTTCATCAACTGCCAGCAACAGAATCAGTGAGTGTTCCCCAGGTAACCATGGATCATGATAAACTTGTGTGGTAGTGCTCTATACACAATTCATCTAGAGATAATCTCAAAAATGGCTTTAACTTTGTACTACGTATTATGCAATGCCATATGCAGCTACGGCTATTTCCCATTATAGTATTTAAAGAGGTGGGGTTTGAAACTTTCCCAATAAGGCAACATAAAATCATGTACTTTCTTGAAGCTCATACCTCCTATGTGTTTTGGTACATACAAACACTCATGGATGTATGGTTCATGGTTAGCTAAGAATATTTTATTTATTTATTTATGAAAATACATTAATCTGAGCTCACTTGATCTCGTTCAGTTTGACTGCATATATGTTAGTTGTCCGTGTTGGACTAACCAATAAGAAGCAATGGAATGTAAATACATGTATTTAACAAAGTTGTATCTTTGCATTGCCTTTTGTTTATAATAATGTATGTGATTTATAAAACAGCCTAGGGACTATGCAGCTAGGGCACTTGCACTTTTCTTGTAGTTTTTCTTTAATATACTTTTGCTGAACGAATATAGCTAGGCTATGCAGTGATTGATTTAGGACTTCTCAATTCCTCTGAAGTCCAGGACATAATCCTTTCAAAGTTCATCTCCTTGATTTTGCAGGTGCTCCTATTTTAATAATGTTCAATTGGTTATTTATCACCACTGAGTTTTCTTCATTTAGTGACCTTATGCTGCTGGGTCATATTGTTTATTCTTTTATTTTTTGCACATCAGTTTGTGTCCCAGAGAAGAAGACATATTCGAGGAAGCGCTTTAAAGTTGGTTCTTGATTATATCCGTACTTCTCCATGCAAGGTGTGCATATTTAATTTACATTTTGCTTCCATTACATATGGTTGTGATGTCATTTCGCCCAAACTAAACTGCACCTGTGACTTGCCAGTTGCGGAGTTGCCACATGTGATATTCCTGCATGATGAAGTTTTTTATTCCTTATAAGTTATATGTACTAGTCAATAATGACATGATATATTCATTAATGGACTTTAACATTCATGCAGACCTGTCTTACAGCAGCTGGTTGTTACCTAAGCCCAGTTCCTGGTTCCAAAGGAACCAAATTGATGGTTTGCTGCTCTCCCAATGACAATCTCCCTTTGAAGACAGAATTATTGGATACGTTTACCAACAATGAACAGAAGTGTTCACCAAGCGATGAAGAGCAAATAATAGCTGAATTAAAATTGTATGCAGATCAGTTTTACCAGGATGATACGGGGCTGGACATTCTAGATTTAAGAACTGCAGATTCTGTTCTAGTTGAAGCCAAAAGGAAAGGCATTCTAAGTGACTCTACCTATAAGTGCATTGTTTCTTTGCAGGAAAAAGAGGGTGAAAATTTCAGGTCACAATCTGATATAATCCGTGGTTTCAAGTTAGAAAACGAAGAAACTGTTAACTATTATCCAAGAAGAGTGCTTTACCAAGAGCACATTGGTTACTTCATGAATAGATTCCTGGTGAAATGGAATATGAGCAAAAAATTTGAAGAACGGGGTAACTTTTGCAGCTTGTGTGCCATTGGTCAAGATTTGGCAGCCGAGGTGCGTCACATGGTGGATGCTGATTGGTTATACCTTGCAAAATTAGCAAATACTAGCAAACAATTAGTGTTAGCTTCAGGTGATGTCAGGAATGGGCGAATCTCACGTGCTGATTATGTGAAGCAATCAGCTCAAAGGGCTCTTGTTGCATTGAAGTCCATTCCAGTTGCCGCAAGAAGAGCTCTACCTGTCCTGGTTAACAGTGATGGATTACTATTAAGCATCCCGGTATGCCAATCGTTTTGCTGTATTCAAATCCTGAATACTTTTCGTCATGCATGTATGTTACTTGGTTTATCAGTATACCTACTACTTGGTCTGGTTTGGTTTCATTACTTTTCCTGTTGTATATGCAAGTTAACAAGTGTTTTAGCTATAAAGTTAACATACACTTCCGATTCTGCAAAAAAGGAAGGTGATTAATTAAAGTGTAGATTTGTGGTATAATCATGTGGTCTTCTGCATCATATTATCTGTTACAATGGGACACTAGTTGGGATATGTCGTCCAATGAAGTTTTTCTTCTTCTTTTATTAAGAGAAAGTTCTAACACTCCTTGACTTCCCTGTCTTCCAGAGTGTTGGCTTCGAGCATTGTCCCTGCTTTGTGGCGTCTGCTGTGTTCAAGCCGATGGTCCCTCTTGGTGGTGGTTACTGTACATTTCTATAGTTATTATTATAACCCAGTTTATATATATAATATATTTGTGGACTTGGTTTCTACACCTGTATACATGTACTTAGATTTGAACTTGCAACACTTTATTTCAAAAGCCAATGTTAATCGATATGTTAACTGAGGGACTAGGGCTTAATTTGGGATTAATGACCAGGGGTGGAAACAACCCGGGCCTGTTTTAGAATGTAAAGGTTTGAGCCTGTCGCCAATAACAGCTCGGGCCTGTTTTAGAATGTAAAGGCCTGAGCATGGCCTATTACCTGTTAAAGGCCTGGTTTTTCGGCCCGAGTCTGGCCTGTTTAAAAGCTTGACTTGGCCTGAAGCCTATTTACTGGGCCTGATAAGAAAAAAAAACAAAATTACAAAAAAATAAAAAATAAAAAGTGAAAAATCCTTTTAACCCGATTTAAAATTTATTCCCCCAAATATTCACTAAAAAGTCTAATAATACGTTAAGTTTTGCTTTGGATGTCTAATAATACATTATTATGTCGTGAAAATTAATTTAAAATCTTGAAAAACTTGAATTTCAATTATCTTAATAAACTATTAACACACTTTATACTACCTCCGTTCTCTTTTAGTTGCAACGTTGGACTTTTTGTACTATTCACATATTCTACTTTGACTACATTTTATTAATTGATGTATTATAAATTAATTTTTTAAAAAATATTGTTAAATTCTTCTCATTCTAAATTTTCAAAATATGTTTTTTTTTTAAATTTTTTACTAATACGGAATGTAAGATATTAATGGTCAAACTTGTGCATTGGCAAACGTGAAAAGTTGACCGTTGCAATTAAAAAGGAACGGAGGAAGTATATATTTAAAATAGTATTCTATTCTCTTTTATAATACACACTCCATAAAAATACTACTATGCCGAATTTGCTATAGTTAAGTATACCAATATAAATATAAATGTAAATAATATAAATAAATATAAATATAACTAAATACACACACAAACATACACATATAAATAGGTCGGACTATTAAGCTAAAAAGGCTTCAGAGTTGGGTTAGGCTTGACCTATTTAGATAAACGGACTTTTTGAAAAGTTCAAGCCTAGTTTGATTACTAAACAGGCCAGGCCACATGCCAGGCCACAGGCCGCCTGGCCTATTTCCACTCCTAAGTGTTGCACTTGGGAAATGTCTGTTTAAAAAAAGCTACTTAAAAAATTGCTTTCCACAGTAGAAAGTGACGAGAGTTGGAAGTTTTTGGCACTGAGGTTAAGACTTGAGAGTGAGGTGTAAAATTTTAAACTGAGGCTAATACCTTATGAATAATGGATAAGAATGATCCCAACTATGAGTGATTTGCTTGAAATAATCCAAAGTATTAATTATCTCAGAATAATCCCAACTATTGAAAAAACTTCTCAAAATACTTCATTTACTCATAAATATCATAAGTTATTTATGGATAATTATAAGTCACCGGAGTATTTTGAGAAGATTTTTTAATAGTTGTGATTACTTTGAGATAATTGATACTTTGGATTATTTCAAACAGATCACTAATAATTGGGATTATTCTTATCCATTTAACAATACCTTATTGTGTTATCGTGCCTTTTAGCATTTCAAATCAGCTTTTGAGCAAAACTAAAATTTGTAGAATTGCAATAAGAGTTGGGACGAAAGAGAGTTTTTCCCAAGACAAACACAATCTCAATTGGGTTCTAAACTGTAATATAACCCCTTACAATTCACCTTCGAGACATTTCCTCAATCCTCAGTAGCATTGCCAGAATCTACCCTTCTATGCTAGGTTATCAAAATCAACAGCACGATTTTACGATTCATAATCACAAGATCAAATCAAATTGCAAATAAAACTGAATCTCACTAAAATCGTATGAAATCATACTACAATCATTCAGAATGGTATGAAATGTAAATATAAAACGACTGAACAATTTTGAATTGATCTCTCTTCCAACTTCTGAGAAACTGCTTTTAGGAGCAATTTATTGCACCACGAAGTACTTCTTCGCTTTTACCCAAACATTCTAATACAGAGTATTTGATCCTGCCCCTTGAAGGAGCAGAAGTAGTTTTAATTAATTTAAGTGCGGGAAGGGAGCGAGACCAAGCTGAGCACTCTTCCACTACTAAAGCATACATTTGAATAATTGGATCTATTACTCTATTAGTATATACTATCGTAACATGTTCAATTTTACACTATTCACATGCTCTACTTTGACTACGTTTTATATTATTATTTTATGAAAATTATTGTCTTAAAAATATTGTTCAACTCATTCCATTATAAATTATCAAAATTTGATTTTTAATTTTTTTACTAATAGAGGATAAGATATATTTACGATCAAAGATGTATGATGACAAATTTGAAATATTGATCGTTGCAATTAAAAAGAACGAGGAAGTATATATATACATATTCAGTATATATATGTACGTTCCATGTTTCTATATTATGTAACTTTAATTGATACACGAGTTGTTCTTATACTTGAGGAATTTGATTAAACTATATATACATCAATGATATTTATTGATTGCTGTTCATTGAATATGTGCAATTACTTGCTATTAATTGTTTTGTGAACTACGATTAAACATCATGTTATGACCTAACCGTATGGTTTAATTTATCATTACTATTAAGATGCAACTCATGTGAGTTTTCGTTTTATCTATAAACGTAGTATTTAATATGGAGTACTTTATCATTACTAGCTATTAAGTGTGGATTTGAGGTGCTTGAAGGGATGACTTCTGTTTTACTTCCAAACTAGTATAGTACCCGTGTATACACACGGGAAAGAACAGTTGGTGCATATATGAATGATAAAAAAAATCCATGTTGCAACTATAAGTAACAGAGAATAGTATGAAGTATATCACAATGACTATAAAAGTGTACTCGTAGCAAATTTAGTGACTTTTTTGTCCACGAATATTTATTTGAGACGTTCTCCTTATAGTCACTAAAAATTATTAGGTCATATTTTTTTATCCATTATCTTTATTTTGTTCATATAATAAAATTTATTTATTTATTTCGGAATAATCCGTATCGAGGATGGAAAAGAAGAAGATTGTTTAAAATATATTCAGATTTTTTTAGAATTTTATATATGCAATATTGGTGTCATATGAAAGATCGTAAACAAATATGAGTTTTGATATACTTTTTATAAAAATTAGATAAAAGATGAAAAAGTTAAAACAGAAAATGGCGTTTTTTATTTATATGGCCCATAAATTAATACCACGTACGTTTCTTTTCTTGTCTTGGTATATAAATGCTTTTCTTCCTTTGAATTGGATTGTTCGGTATTATCGTTCAATCAGTTGTTATAGGGAGCGGTCCACGGTGAGCATGCTGCTCCACTGGAAAAATTCACGTGTTACTGTTCACGCACGTGAACAGTAACTTTTAATTTTTTATTTTTTCATTATCCCAGTAGCAGAACGATGTAACTTGTGTGTAAAGAAATGTAACTCACGTTTATAAGAATTGTTACTGCAGGCAAGCCAGAATGTAACTTGTCTAGAACATTGATTTCAATGTAAACAACAAAAAAAAGGAGTCTAATTGTTTCTTATTGTTTAATTACTTTATCTAAATATTGAATATGTTTTGTTTTTAATATTAAGACCATAAAATGTTTTAAGGAATTCATTTTTTCCCCCAAGAAATCATTTTTTTTTTTGTTAAAAAATGATTTAAGAAAAGGACTAATTGTCCAATTATTTACTTAAATTGTGTATATATTTTGTTTCATTTGAATGAATGTAATTTACATTTTGATTAACCTGAAGTTACATATTGATTCACACGATTTACATTTCATATAATTTTGGGAGTAACTTGCATTGTATTGTTGTGTAACTCGTATTATGAAAGATGTAAATCACATGTAAGCAAGATGTAACTTATTCAGGAAAGTTGAAATGTAAATCGCGTGTTACAAAATGTAACTTTAGCCAAATCGAAATGTAATTCAGGTGTATTAGAAATGCAACTCCTGAATTTTTTTTATCCAAACGCTCAAAAGAGCCAATACTATCCACTATCAAGTCATAAAGGCAATAATCATCTAGCTATAGCCTATTTGCCTGCGAACTGTTGCCATAGTATTTTAAAGCATCAGAAATCTAATCATTCTCCCAGATGTAGGTGTCTCTGGCTCAAGAACTCTGAAGCAGCAGTCACCAGTGTCAAATTTTTTTGCAGCAGTGGCAGGTAAACAAAATTGGTCCTCTCCTTGGCTATGGCGGCGCGGTTGTAGACGGCCGGCACAACATCACTGGCGGCATCAAAAGTACACAGTCGCTTCCTCTCCATAGACAGAGGGTTCCTTGATCAGAGCTACGTAGCGTCCCCATGGGTGGCGGCACACTCCCGATGATGGCCGCAAATGTGATTGTGGGCGGAGGGTGAGCCGGTGATGCCGTCTCCTTGAAAATTGCAGAAGCCTTCGGTTTGGAAATAGTTAGGTTGAGAAATAAGGGAGATACTCTTGATCTTCGTTATTTTTTTAATTGAAACGGCACCGTATGGGGACCGGTATACCATACGCATGGTATACCGATCCCATGGTATAATTTGCCTTGTTCAATTTGCCATGTGTCATTTGTAGAGTAGAGGAGTGAATTGTGGAGAGAATGACACATAGATTTCATTAAGGGTAAAAATATATTTTTATGAGCTATTTCTTTTCTTATGAAGTTACTGTAGATGATCACTTTAGCCATGTGTTATTTGTCAAAAGTTATTTGAGAGCACACATCAAATTAAATGTGTACGTTGTAAGAGAGGAAAAATAAAGGTGGCAAAATGAATATTTTTAAGAGCTTAATATGCTCCCAAAGTGTCTAAATCGTTTGGAGGCTCAGTTTAAGAGCCTGTTTGGTAGCACGAAAATCAGCTGTTTTGGCCGATTCTGCTGAAATTTATGAAGTTTTGGCTGAAGTGGCTGCATTGGCTGATTCTGCTGATTTAAGAAAAAATATTTCTAAAATATATTTTATTAATAAAATAAAGAAAAAATTATATGAAAAAATAGCTAAAGTGATCATCTACAGTAACTTCGGCCAATGCAGCCAGAAAAGTAACT